AGCGGGACAGTGGTGGGGACAGTGGGACAGTTGTGGGGACGGTAGTGGTGGGGACAGTGGTGAAGGCGGTGGTGAGCACAGTGGTGGGACAGTAGCACAGTGGGGAAAGTGGTGGGGGCAGTGGGGACAGTGGGGACAGTGGGACAGTAATGGGGACAGTGGGGACAGTGGGGACGCTGGGACAGCACAGTGGGACAGCGGCGGGGACAGTGGGACAGTAGTGGGTACAGTGGGGACAGTGGGACAGTGGTGGGGACCGTGGGGAAAGCGGGGAGAGTGGGACCGTGGTGGGACAATGGTGGGGAGAGTCGGGACATTGACACACTGGTGGGGGCACTGGTGGGAGCAGCGGGGACAATGGTGGGAACAGTGGGGACAGTGGGACAGTGGTGGGGACGGTGGTGCTAGTGGTGTGGGGACAGTGGGAATGTGGTGGAAACAGTTGGACAGTGGAGGGTACAGTGGTGGTGGGGACAGTGGTGAGGGCGGTGGCGAGGACGGCGGTGGGACAATGGGACAGAGGTACAGTGGGGACAGTGGTGGGGACAGTGGGGATAGTGGTGGGAACAGTGGGACAGCTCAGTGGGACAGCGGAGGAGACAGTGGGACAGTGGGGACAGTGGGGACAGTCGGGCAGTGGTTGGGGCCGTGGAGAAAGTGGGGAGAGTGGAACCGTGGTGGGAACAGTGGTGGGGACAGTGGGGACAGTGCGACAGTGGTGGGGGCACTGGTGGGGACAGTAGGGACGGTGGTGGAACCAGTGGGGACAGTGGTGGTGAGGACAGTGGTGCAGGGAACAGCAGTGGGGGACGTGGTGCGGACGGTGGTATGGGCCGGGAGTCGTTTGCTGTCGGTGAGGGGGTGGGAGGGGTTCGAACCGGTAGTGACCCCGCCCCTGTTTTCGACGAGGGGGAGGGGGGTGTTCGAACCGGTAGTGACCCCCCTGGTTTTCGAGCGGAGGGGGGGTTCGAACCGGTAGTGACCCCCCTGGTTTTTGTAGGGAGATCGAGGGGGGGGTTCGAACCAGTAATGACCTTCCTCGGGTTTTCTGAGGGTCCGAACCGGTAGTGGCTCCCCCCGGTTTTCTGGAAAGGGGGGGGGTCGAACCGGTAGTGACCCACCCCGGTTTTCTGGAGGGGAGGGGGGGGGGGTAGGGGAGGGGGTTTGCCGGGTAAAGGGGGGGGGGTCCAGCAGGGGGGGGGATTTTCGGAGGGGGGGGGACCCCCGGGTTCCGGAGGAAGAGGGGGGTGAATTTTCCACAGTAAAGCACGCTCTTCGAACATCTGGAGCTGTGCCAGAACATTATTCCTGGGACTTCAACGCCGCGAATCACCGTTCCTGTGCGTCTTGATGATCCTGAATTGTGCCAGCACGCCGTTTCTGGGAATTCAACCCGGCGAATCGGCGTGACTGTTGCGCCCTGACATTCCGGCATCGTGCCACAACATTTTTTGGACGTTGACCATGATAATTTCTGAAACAGTTGCAAGCTCTGAAGACGAATGCGCGCGGCGCTGGGGCGAGAACCACATTTAATTATTCACTGCGTGGAGCTCCCCATATGTGCATCTATTCGCATGGACCTGTCCGCCGTGAATGTCTAGGCGCAAGAGCTTTCGAATCTAAACGGGCTTCAGTTGTGACGGTCTGGTCATGAATCTAACTGAGAATGAATTGGAGTGTGAATGAGCCTCAGTAGTACGAGCGCGTCTCTGCGTATGAGCCTGGGTCCTCCTGGGCCTCCTGGGGCCTCCTGAAACCTACTGGGGCTTCCTGGGGCCTCCAGGAGCCTCTTGGGGCCTCCTGGGGCCTCCTGGGACCTCCTAGGGAGGATTCGTGCCCCAGGAAAGGCCCAATCTATAGCAACAGACGTCCTTAAAACATTGCGGATTGGAGCCGCAGGAGAGGGGGGCAATCTATAGGAACACACGTAAAACACCAAGGACTCGTGCCCCAGGAGAGGCCCTTAGGAACGTATGTACACAGGAGAAGGACAATCTGTAGAAACATACGTATAACATCAAGGATTCGTGCTCCAGGTGAGGCCCAATCTATAGGAGCATACGTAAAACACATGGGATTGGAGCCACTCCTGTTGCCTTCTGAGGCCTCCTGCTCCTGGGGCCTCTCAGGGCCTCCTGTTGCCTTCCGAGACCTTCTGGCGTTTCCTCTGGCCTCCTGGGGCCTCCTGTGGCTTCCTGAGGCCTCCCAGAGCTTCCTGGGGCTTCCTAGAGCCTCTTGGGACATCCTGTGGCCTCTTGAGTTTTTCTGTGGCCTCCTGATGCCTCCTGGGACCTCATGTGGGCTCCTGGGGCCTGCTGGAGCCTGTCGGAGCCTCCTGTGGCATCCTGAGGAGACTCTGTGCCCACGAGTCTGGCCACCGATCGAGACATCTTCAAAATCTGGCCCACCTGGGGGGTGAAAATGAGCGCTTCGCTCGAGACATCCTTCAAATCTGCTCCGAAAGCGAAGGATGTTGAGACAGAAACAGGCAAACCGCTTGAGACATCCCCACAAAACGGCCACGAACGGGACCGTGAGATAACCCTTGGCGGCTCCCCTGAGGGGCGTGAAAATGAGCGCCTCGCTCGAGACATCCTCCAAATCTGCTCCGAAAGCGAAGGATGTTGGACAGAAAACAGGCAAACCTCTTGAGACATCCCCACAAAACGGCCGCGAACGGGACTGTGAGGTAACTCCTGGCGGCTCCCCTTAGGGGGGTGAAAATGAGCGCCTCGCTCGAAACATCCTCCAAATCTGCTCCGAAAGCGAAAGATGTTGGGACAGAAAACATGCAAACCGCGTGAGACATCCCCACAAAACGGCCACGAACGGGACCGTGAGATAACCCCTGGCGGATCCCCATAGGGAGGTGAACATGAGCGCCTCGCTCGAGACATCCTCCAAATCTGCTCCGAAAGCGAAGGATGTTGGACAGAAAACAGGCAAACCGTTAGAGATATCCTCACAAAACGGCCGCGAACGGGACCGTGAGATAACCCTTGGCGGCTCGCATTCGGGGGGTGAAGATGAGCGCCTCGCTCGAGATCTCCTCCAAATCTGCTCCGAAAGCGAAGGATGTTGGGACAGAAACAGGCAAACCGCTTGAGACATCCCCACAATACGGCCGCGAACAGGACCGTGAGATGACTCCTGGCGGCTCCCCTGAGGGGGGTGAAAATGAGCGCCTCGCTCGAGACATCCTCCAAATCTGCTCCGAAAGCGAAGGATGTTGGGACAGAAAACAAGCAAACCGTTTGAGATATCCCCACAAAACGGCCGCGAACGGGACCGTGAGATAACCTTTGGCGGCTCGCATTAGGGGGGTGAAAATGAGCGCTTCGTTTGAGACATCCTCCAAATCTGCTCCGAAAGCGAAGGATGTTGGGACAGAAAACAGGCAAACCGCTTGAGACATCCCCACACAACGGCCGCGAACGGGACCGTGAGATAACTCCTGGCGGCTCCCCTGAGGGGCGTGAAAATGAGCGCCTCGCTCGAGACATCCTCCAAATCTACTCCGAAAGCGAAGGATGTTGGGACAGAAAACAAGCAAACCGCTTGAGATATCCCCACAAAACGGCCGCGAACGGGACCGTGAGATAACCCTTGGCGGCTCCCTTCAGAGGGAGCTGAAACCAGCGCCCCGCCTGAGACATCCTCCAAATCTGCTCTGGCAGCCAAGGATGATGGGATAGAAAACAAGCAAACCGTTTGAGATATCCCCACGAAACGGCCGCGAACGGGGCGTGCGTGAGTTTCACCATGCGTAAGTCTGAGTAGGAGTAGGTCTGAGTATGAGTAGGTCTGAGTAAGAATAATTTTGTGTGTGAGTAAGTCTGGGTATGAGTAGTCTGAGTGTGAGTCAGTCTGTGTATGAGTAAGTCTGGGTATGAGGAGGAGAGGGGAGGAGAAGGAGAAGAGGAAGTAGGAGGAGTAGGAGGCGTCCAAGTAATAACAATAACCCCATCTTAGGATATGGGGAAAAATGGAACCGCCCTCCATCCGTGAAACTCTTGTTGCATTTTAGCACGAATATGCGCGGTGCTTATGCGCTAAGGCGAGAGGCACACTTTGAAAGCGGACCGCCCTCTATCCGTCAATCTGTTGCATATTTCAAGCTTCAGGTTCATAAATGGTGAGGAAGTCTCAGGCGAAACGCCCAGCCCGGGAGGATACCCTATTGTTCTTCGTGTTTGTTGGATGTTTTTGTGCCTCCTGGGGAGGGTACCCTTGGATGTTATGTTTTTTTGGGTCGACGGAGGGTCTCATATGACGGTGGCTGAGGAGGAGGAGCAGGAGGAGGAGGAGGTGGAGCAGGAAAAGGAAGAGGAGGAGGAGGACCAGGAGCAGGAGCAGGAGGAGGAGGAGGAGGAGGAGGAGGAGGGGGAGGAGGAGGAGGAGGAGTCGGAGTCGGAGTCGGAATCGGAGTCGGAGGAGGAGGAGGAGGAGGAGGAGGAGGAGGAGGAGGAGGAGGGCCCATGCCCCTGGGCTTTGCAAATCTCGGACGTCGCGTCTTCCGTAGCGTGGGCTCCTGGAGATCTCGACGCTTTCTCCAAGACCCGCGCTTCGTCCTAACAGCCGTTTGACGGTTCCTGGGCGTGGTGAGGGCCCTTGGGGTCCAAACACTTGCCAACATTTTATTCCTTCATGATCTCGCTGGCGTTCCACGATTCTCGATCTCCCGACCGGCAGCCTCGCCTGTCTTCTCGTGGAGGCTGCTACGGCGTCTTCGCCGCCGCCGCCGCGGTCGGCGCTGCGTAGCCGGCGTCGTCGTCGTCGTCGTCGCCGTCGCCGTCGCCGTCGCCGTCGCCGTCGCCGTCGCCGTCGCCGTCGCCATCGTCGTCGTCGTTGTCGTCGTCGTCGTCGCCGTCGCCGTCGCCGTCGCCGTCGCCGTCGCCATCGCCGTCGCCGTCGCCATCGCCGCCGTCCTCGCCGTTCCCTCCCCCTGCATCAGGTGGTGGGGTGCTGAGAAGGCCGCGCCGAACGTCACCGTCCAGGCGCGCGTGCCGAGAATTCGCGAGGGGCTCTCGCGCGACGCGGTCTCCATGGATCCCGTCCTGGCTGCAGTGGCGCTGGCCCCCAGTCCTTGAGGGAGAGAGGGACGACAGGCAAGCTGACGACGGCAAGCGCGCAGGTGGGAGATCAAGGCGGGCGGGGCGAAGCAGGCGGGCGGGCAGGCGGGATGCCGTTTCGGCCACTGCCAGGGGACAGACGGTGATGATGATGATGATGATGATGATGATGATGATGATGATGATGATGATGACGACGATGACGATGACGATGACGATGACGATGAGGATGAGGATGTGGATGAGGATGAGGATGATGATGATGATGATGATGATGATGATGATGATGATGAGGATGAGGATGAGGATGATGATGATGATGATGATAATGATGCTGCTGATGCTGATGCTGATGCTGATGCTGATACTGCTGATGCTGATGCTGCTGATGCTGATGATGATGCTGATGATGGTGATGATGGTGGTCGTGGTGGTGATTGTGATGGTGATGGTAATGGTGGTGGTGGTGGTAATGATGGTGATGATTATGGTGACCGTGATGGTAATGTAGGTGATGATGATGATGATGATGATGATGATGATGATGATGATGATGCTTATGATGATGATGATGATGCTGATGATGATGATGCTGATGGTGATGCTGCTGATCATGCTGATGATGGTGATGATGCTGCTTGTGGCGATGACTGGTGGTGAGGGCTGCCGATGGCCATGGCGACGACGATTCTGATGCTGACGTGGGTGATCATGCCGTTGATGTTGGTGACAGCGCTAGCGATGACGGCGTTTACGATTGTGAGGATGTCGATGATGATGATGCTGATGCTGCTGATGATGATGATGATGATGATGATGATGATGATGATGATGATGAAAACAGTAATATTGATGTGGTAATGGTTACGGTGATGTTTACGATGACGGTGATGCTGATGATGGTGACGACGAATACGATGGCGATGCTGATGATGGTAGTGGTGATGATGTTGATGATGACGATGACGATGATGACGACTTCGCAGTGCGCCGCGCAATGCGCAGTGCGGCCTTAAAGAGCGCAGTGCGCATTGCGCAGTGCGCAGTGCGCTTTTTGATCGCGCACGTGCGCCAGAGACCCCCGAGTCCCAAGACACCCGCCCGCGAGCAGGGAGGATCCCCAGGTCACCCGCTGGGGCGGGAAACTATTCACGTTTCCTGCGCCGCCGACGCGGCCGCCGAGTTCGCGTTCTCCATAGGGCGTCGCGAGGGCGCCAGGATAGCCGCGCATCGCGCACTGCATCGCGCATCGCGGGGCGCGACGCGCGAAGTTAGGTGCCCTGGATTCCCGCGGGGCTGGGCCGTTGTGTCCCAGGCCAGGCCGCAGGCCTCGCCGCCCACCGAGCAGGTCAGCGCGGGGGTCCGATCCAAAGCCGAGGGCCTTTGCAGGTCCACCACCCAACAGAGCCCGATCGAGCCGTTGCCTTTGGCTCAACATCAGCCTCAAGGCTGCGTGGATCAGGCATGGCAGGCCAAGCGCTGACGATGATGATGATGATGATGATGATGATGATGATGATGATGATGATGATGATGATGATGATGATGGTGGTTATGATGGTGATGGCGATGATGGTGATGATGATGATGTTGATGGTGATTGTGATGGCGATGGTGATGATGATGAGATGATGGTGATGTTGATGATGATGGTGATGGTTGTGGTAATGGCGATGATGATTTTACTGACCATGATGCTGATGCCGATGATGATGTTGATGATGACGATGGTGTCGACGAAGACGCTTATGATGATGCTGATGACGCTGATGACGGTGATGCTGGTGATGCTGATGTTTGTACTGATGCTGATGCTGATGATGCCGATTATGTTGCTGATAATGAACCTGATGCTGTTGATACTGATGCCGCGGATGATAACGTCGACGTTCATGATAATAGTGTAGTGCTACTGTTTTGATGCTGATTGCGGTGATACTGCGGCTCATGACAATAATGACAGTTCTTATGCTAATGATACTGATGCTGCTGATGATGATACTGATGATGATGATAATGCTGATGATGACATTCTGATAATGTCGAAGATGGTGATGATGAGGATGATGAGGATGATGATGATGATGATGATGATGATGATGATCATGACCACTCTGATGATGACGTCGACGACGGCGACGACAACGATGATGACGACGACGATTATGCTGTTGACGATGACGATGACTATGACGGGGCTGATGATGATGCTGATGATGATGCATATTATGATGATGCTGCTGCTGCTGATGATGATTCTGATTATGATGATGGTGATGGTGGTGATGGTGGTGATGATGATGAAGATGACGAGGATTACGAGGATGATGCTGATGGTGATGTCGCTACTGGCGATGTTTCTCATGCTGCTGTTGCTTCTGACGCTGCTCATGCTGATGACGATGCTGATGTTCATGAGGATGCTGAGGATGCTGAATACGATGATGATGATGATGATGCTGATAATGATGATGATGATGATGATGATGATGATGATGATGATGATGATGATGATGATGATGATGATGGTGATGGTGATGGTGATGATGATGATGATGATGATGATGATGAAGATGATGATGATGATGATGATGATGATGATGATGATGATGATGCTGGTACTGAAGCTGATGCTGACGATGACGGCGATGCTCACGATGTTCCTGATATTGAACCTGCCGCCGTTGATAATATTGTCAAATATGATAACGGCGATTCTCACGATGATACTGTTATGCTGCATGCTATCATCATGATGATGGTGATGCTGCGGCTGATGACGCCGATGACGATGAGGATGATGATGGTGATGATGGTGAGCCCGAAGATGATAATGATGATGCTGCTGATGATGATGATGCTGATGATGATTATGATAATGATGATGAGGATGATGAGGATGATGATGATCATGACAACTCTGATGATGATAATGATGATGGTGATGATGACGTCGTCGACGACGGCGACGACACCCATGACGACAATGATGCTGCTGACGGTGACGTTGATGACGATGTCGACGACGACGTTGACAATGGTGATGATGATGGTAATGCTGTTCCTGATGATGATGGTGATGATGATGATAATGGTGATGGTCCTGATGATGATGCTGACGCTGATGTTGATGCTGATGATGATGATGATGTTGACGACGATGATGCTGCTGATGATGATGATGATGATGCTGATGCTGATGCTGATGCTGATGCTGACGATGATGGTGATGATGATGTTGATGACGATGATGATGATGCTGATGATGCTGATGCTGCTGCTGCTGCTGATTCTGATTATGATGATGGCGATGATGAAGGTGTTGATGATGATGCTGATTACGCTGCTGATGATGCTCATGATGATTCCTCTCGCTTCGCGGGGTGCACGTCCGGAGCACGTACAGTCACGTCGTCGCGGGGCCTCTTGGGAGCCTTTTGGGGGCCTCCTGGAGGCCTCCTGGGAGTTTCTTTTGGCCTTTTGGGGGCTTCTTTGGGGGCTTTCCCCCCTCCCTCCTTTTCATACACCCTCCCCATCATCCCTTCCATCGCCGGCTCCAATCATGGGCGCCGCAGTGACCAACTTCCACCTGGCTGGCGCTGCGCCGCAGTTCGCCCAGAGGGGGGAAAATAACATTACACACCAGTCGCTGTGTGGCCTTTGGGGGGCTTGTTGGAGGCCTTTTGGAGGCTTCTGGGGGACTTTTTGGAGGCTTGTTGGGGGCCTCTTGGGGCCTTTTTGGGGCGTCTTGGGCCGTCTTGGGGCGTTTTTGCGCCGTTTCGCCCCCTCGGAGGCTGTCTTGGGGGCCTCTCGCGGCCGCATTGGAGCCCTCTTGTGGTCCTCTTGGGCCGTCTTCGCTGCCTCTTGGACCGTCTTGGGGGCCTCTTTGGGTCGTTTTGGGGCCCTCTTGGGCCGTCTTGGGGCCCTCTTGGGGGCTTTTTGGGCTGTTCTGGGGCGATTCTGGAAGCTGCTTGGGCCGTCATGGATTTTTGAAAGTCGGAAAAGACGAGAACGCTTAAATATTGCAAGAAGCATCGGGGAAATCAATGATTTCGGCCCCTGGAGGCGCAGTTGTGGGCGCTCTTGGGGCCCTGTTGGGCCGTCCTTAGAGCTTTTGGGGCCCTCTTGGGGCCGTCTTGGGGGCCTCATGGGCCCCCGTTGGGAATATCTTGGGCCGTCTTGGGCCGTCTTAGGGCCATGTTGGGCCTTCTTGAGGCCCTCTTGGAGCCCCAAGAGGCCCAAGAGGCCGAACTTTTTTTTTTGTTTGTTCTTCATATGTTTTTGTAGGTTTTTAGGGCCCCAGAAGGGGGGATCACTTTGGTCCGGCGGTGTGGCGCAGCTCCCAGGGGGGGGTTAGGGGGGGAGACATAATAATGTAACACAATACAACATGTTGCAATTATGGAATCTTTGGATACATTGGATACGTTGCATTAAGGCATTCGCCGAAAAACGCTGCCGCTCAGCACGTCACCTCCGGACGTGGATTCCTCTCGCTTCGCGGGGTGCACGTCCGGAGCACGTACAGTCACGTCGTCGCGGGGCCTCTTGGGAGCCTCTTGGGGGCCTCCTGGGAGCTTCTTTGGGGCCTTTCCTTTTTTCCTTTTCATACACCCTCCCCATCTTCCCTTCCAGCGCCGGCTCTAATCATGGGCGCCGCAGTGACCAACTTCCACCTGGCTGGCGCTGCGCCGCAGTTCGCCCAGAGGGGGGAAAATGACATTACACTCCAGCTGCTGTGTGGCCTTTGGGGAGCTTTCTGGGGGCCTTTTGGAGGCTTATGGGGGGCTTTTTGGAGGCCTTTTGGGGGCCTCTTGGGGTCTCTTCGGGGCGTTTTCGGCCGTCTTGGCGCTTTTGCGCCGTTTCGCCCCCTCGGAGGCTGTCCTGGGGGCTTGTCGCGGCCGCATTGGAGCCCTCTTGGGGCC